TTAATTTCTTTCTATTTATAGTAGAGACGGGGTCTCGCTCTTGCTCAGGCTGGTTTTGAACTCCTGACCTTGAGCAATCCGCCCGCCTTGGCCTCCCAGAGAGCTAGGATTACAGGCGTGAGCCACCACGCCCGGCCCTAAAAGTTTTTTTTCTTTTTTCTTTTCATGGTTTTACATCCTGTTTGTTATTTGAAATATGGTAGTATTAATGCTTTCTACACTGGTTCTAATCTATGGTTTACATTAATTTCTTGTATAAAGGGCTGCTTTTACTTAGATCTTGAGATGCTTTTGATATCAATATCCACAGATAGCCTTGCAAACAAATGAAAAATGATGATCATTTGATGTTGAGACATATATACTGTTTTTGCTTGCCTGTCTTGCCCCAGAAATAAATGAGGTGGTAAAGTAAATGGAATCAGCTTTCTCTTTTACCCACCTGGCATCAATTGTTTCCAATTCCAGGCATCTAGTTGAGGATAATTTGTTAGCCAAAGAGGTTGAGGGTCATCCCAGAATTCCCAGTTGCTTCTATAACAACTAGACAACACCCTCTGTACAGCGGGCCATTCTCCACACTAACCCCTTCCCATACATGTGGACAGACATGCTTTCCCAATCATAAACATATGCCTACTCTAATTGTCTGTCTCATATCTGCAAGTTATTTTGCCCAAGATATATTCATTCATCTGTTTCATGTTTAGATAGCTTCCCTTAGGGTAAGCTTTAAAATGCTGTCATGGCTATTGGAAATTTTAAAAAATAAAAGTACCTGCCAGGTAATTATGAAACTTACTCAATAGGAGGAAGGAGAGGAAGGAAGAGAGAGGGGTGAAAACCAAATGCACACACTAGGAAGTTGTTTTTCTTTTTGTTTTGAGACAGGGTCTCACTCTGTCACCCAGCCTGGAGTGCAGGGACGCCATCACAGCTTACTGCAGCCTCCAACTCCTGGGCTCAACCAGTCCTTCTGCTTCAGCCCCAAGTAGCTTGGATGACAAGTGCATGCCATCACGAATGGCTAATTTTTAAATTGTTTTGCTGAGGTGAGATCTTGCTGTGTTGTCCAGGTCTTGCTATGTTCCTGGCCTTAAGTGATTCTCTTGCCTCAGCCTTCCAAAGTGATAGGATTATAGGTGTGAGCTACTGTGCCTAGCCACTATAAAGTTTTTAAATGTCCACAATTCACAACATTTAATGATGAATCATTGGTTGGAATTTCTTGTTCTAGAATATTGAGAAGTGCTGATACCCCAACAAAATGCACACTATGACTCTAGGGTTAACAAATAAGAATATGAAAACAAGGCACAATGATGATCTATGTAAAATGGAGAACATACCTTGGAAATGTTCAAAACTAGCTGTCATTAGTCAATAAATTTTCTAAGTCTGTCATAAATGTGTAGAGAGATACAGTGTTAGAATGGATCGGGAATTATAAATGTTGTATTAAAAGTTCATAAATAAAATTTGGAATTTATACCCCAAACATTATGCATATTGCTCTCTATCATATACCCATTTCAAAAATGGGCTCATAGGGCACATTGTAAGAATACAGGCTTAGCCACCCTCCCAAATTCCAGAATGGAATTGTCAAACTTAACCATTCTGAACATTAAATACTTATTTTTGGGCCGGGCGCGGTGGCTCACGCCTGTAATCCTAGCACTCTGGGAGGCCGAGGCAGGCAGATTGCTCGAGGTTGGGAGTTCGAAACCATCCTGAGCGAGACCCCGTCTCTACTAAAAATAGAAAGAAATTAATTGACCAACTAAAAATATATATACAAAAAATTAGCTGGGCATGGTGGCGCATGCCTGTAGTCCCAGCTACTCGGGAGGCTGAGGCAGGAGGATCGCTTGAGCCCAGGAGTTTGAGGTTGCTGTGAGCTAGGCTGACGCCACGGCACTCACTCTAGCCTGGGCAACAAAAGTGAGACTCTGTCTCAAAAAAAAAAAATACTTATTTTTGAATTCACATTACTACCATAATGTTCTGCATTTCTGAAAGTTTTATTGAGAATCTTAGCTGTGCCACTAATGACATTCATATTTATTGAAGTTCTTAATAATACATTTTAGGAGCTACACTGTAAAACATGCTTTAAAAACTTTAGAAAGGCTTTTGATTTTAACAGAGACAGAGGCAGATCCTGGATTAGTGGTCATGGTGTGGCAGAGATGGGCTAGATGCTCACTGATTCCATTTCCTTCTCCTGGTGCACAAGACGACTCATGTCCCAGTCTTGCTCACAGTTACATTGATTTTTTTGGGGGGGAGGGGCAGAGTCTCACTCTATTGCCCTGGCTAGAGTGCCGTGCATCAGCCTAGCTCACAGCAACCTCAAACTCCTGGGCTCTAGTGATCCTCCTGCCTCAGCCTCCCAAGTAGCTGGGACTACAGGCACGCACCACCATGCCCGGCTATTTTTTCTATATATTTTTAGTTGGTCAATTAATTTGTTTCTATTTTTAGTAGAGACGGGGGTCTCACTCTTGCTCAGGCTGGTTTCAAACTCCTGACCTTGAGCTGTCCACCGGTCTCAGCCTCCCAGAGTGCTAGGATTACAGGCGTGAGCCCCTGCGCCCGGTCTGATTGGTGTCTTTTGATGTACACCACTTACAGGCTTGTCTTTGAAATACCCTTAAGTGAGCCTCCTTGCTCTCTCTCTTTACTTGCTGGTTGATTTATGATCAAAGAGGCACTCGGGGGTAGCAGAGCCCTAATACAGAAGCAGCCCAGATCTCTGAGTCACTGCCTAGGGGACAATCTCCAATCAATATTGGGCAAGGAGGTGAGAAAGAAATAAGTTTTGACTGTTAAGCCACTGAGATTTGCAGACTGCATATTAATAGCCACTAATGTCGATGGCTCTGAAGAATAGCATTGTTCCTGATAGTCAGGACATCATTCTTTCATTGTATTTATAGAGAGCCACTGTCTCAGTATCTTTTAAAAAATTAATTAATTAAGCGGACAAATAGAAATTATATATATTTATTGTGTACAACATGGTGTTTTGAAATACATAAGCATCGTGGAATGTGCTCAGTGTTTTGTCTATCCTCCTTACACCCTGGTCTGAACTTCTCACCCACCCCCAGACTTGGGATGTTGACCTTTACCCCCATATCATATAGGGCACGGTGTTACACTTCCAAAGATAGCTCACTTCCTGATTGTATGTTTGAAGAGCTCACAGAAGGCTTGTCTATTCTGCAGGTAATAAATGTTTCCATTCAAACCAAATGATTTCTTCTGTGACAGTAAAAGAATCTCTCAGGGCCTAAAGATGCTTTACATTTTGGAGATACCCCTCCACATACATACACATCATCATTCTTTTTTTTCTATATTTTTATTTTTCAACCTAAGATTCCTAATCTTCATTTTGTTTGGATACTGAGATTTCTTCTCAGTATTTCAGAGCAAGAAGTTTTAACCCATGATTCCCCATTAATTTTTCTGAGTGGTGGATATTTCAAAGCTTTCTGGTGCATCATTTGATTTCATTCCTCTTTCATGTACAGTGTGTAATAACTCTATTTTATAATTTCCTGGTTTGTGCTTTTTCTTTATTTAGGAAAAGTGTCTAATAGCCATGACAGTGTTTTTTTTTTGAGACAGAGTCTCACTCTGTCACCTGGGCTAGAGGGCCATGGCGTCAGCCTAGCTCACAGCAACCTCAGACTCCTGGGCTCAAGTGATCCTTCTGCCTCAGCCTCCCGAGTAGCTGGGACTACAGGCATGTGCCACCATGCCCGGCTAATTTTTTCTATATATTTTTAGTTGACCAATAAATTTCTTTCTATTTTCAGTAGAGACGGGGTCTCACTCTTGCTCAGGCTGGTTTTGAACTCCTGACCTTGAGCGATCCTCCCACCTCGGCCACCTAGAGTGCTAGGGTTATAGCTGTGAGCCGCCGCGCCAGGCTGACAGTGCGTTTTTTGACAGCTTGCTCCCCCCACCTCCCCGAATCTCAGCAAAGAGGGTTCAAGATTCAATCCCTTGCCTAGCACAGGAATAGCACTTGCAGCATGTGCCTGGGAAGTCCCAAGGCCACTTCTGATCCACCTGCCCATTTCCAAAACTCAACAATAGAAACCGGGTTCTTCTCTATCTCCACCGTTGCCAGTCTGTTGGAGACCTACCTATAAATTCTGTTGACCTTGAAGCTACTCTGTGTTCAATCAGTCCTTCCTAAACCAAGTTAAGCAGTGTCTCACAATCAACCAGGTTTCCACGCTACCAAATCTTTCTCCTTTGGGAAAACCCCCATTTAACCTAAATGCACAGTCTTGACCTTGCCAAATGCCTTCTGCTCTTGGTCAGGTTCTTCTTAGTGACTAGGATGAGGTCGGCATTCTCCCAGGGCCTAAACCCAAGTTAGATCTCACACTCTCCCTGGATCCTGGCAGAAATTTACAACAGAGAATCCTAAAATTTAAGATGCATTCTAATTACCTAAGGGGATACTTGTTAAAAAGCAGACTCCAGGACCCCCACTTCAGAGATTCTAATTCATGAAGCCGTGGGTAGGTAGGTTCCTAGGAATCTGTATTTCTGTGAAGCCCCTCAGATATATCTGTCCCTTGTGATGCAAGGACCATACTTTGAGAAATGCAGATGGGGTGATGATGTCAGGTACAAGTGACAGATTTAAGATGCCTGAGGAAAATGTCACTTCGTGAGAAAACAAAGTCCATTTAAATAGATTTATGACAAGGTGGCCTTTGCCACAAGTCATTCTTGGGATTTGAATGCTTGCTCCCTCCTTTATTTACAGCCCTGGCACCTCCTTCATAGATGACCCCTGGCACCTCCTTCATAGACGACTCCTGGCCTTGGTTTGGGACCTCTGAACCATGACTCATGCCTTTTGTTGTGTGTCCTTAGCTTTGCCTCCCAACGTCTGTTTCTATCCTAACTTTGTGCTAGGAAACCGTCCAAAGTTCCAGATCATTATGATGTGTTTGTGGAAATGACTCCAACATCCAGTTCCCTCCCCTCCCCTTTCCTCTTTTAGACACAGCGCTTCTCAACCTCCTGTAGTTGGGAGAAGCCACGGGGTGAACTCTGGCCAGTGAAACACGAGCAGAGGTAACATCTGTGGGATTCCCCAGTCTCTCCCTTTCCTTCCACCGCCCCTTCCTGGCCACGTGTCCCAGGGAGTGTGGCTGTGTGAAATGGCGGAGCTTTCATCAGCCCAAGTCCTTCAGTGATGTGGAGCATGTTTTTTTGCTCATTCACGTAGAACAGGTAGTGTGAGCAAGAAAGAAACTTGTATTAGATTAATCCACTGAGATTTGGGGGTAGTATTTTTTATCACAGAAAAACCAAGTCTGACTGATATCAAGTAGTAATGTGCTTTAATGAAGTTTCCCCAAGGCCCTTGCTTATTTAGTTGGTGGTGCTGCCTGCCGTGGAGCATTGAGTACAAAGCAAGGCAGACAATGCTCTTGATGGTCTTTATTTAGGGGACGTGTGTGGATGAGCATCGAATAAATGCATTTAAGTAGATAACTCTTTGGTTTGAGATGGATATGTTCAGGGGAATCTCCTCCTGACTAGATCGTGAGCTCTTTGAATCAGACTAGCACAGAGCTGATGGGTTATTGAGTATTTATATTTTAATAAATCTCAAGCAACCAGATTTGGGATCCCACAGCCATCATCTGCACTGCCTCTAGTCTGGACTGAATTTTCTGTATTTCTTCTGGGTTTGGCGATTCTGTAGACATATAGCCTTAGAATATCTTGTAAGTTCAGGAAAACATTAGGATCTGTCCTGATAAAATACAGTACAATGACTGAGTCACATTTTTTTCATTTAACTCTGCTGGAGGTAACTTAGAAGTTGGAAGCAGTCACAGACCCGAAGAGGCTTTTATGTTTGACCCCTGTGGATTTGTATTCTGTGTGTCCTCCTTAAAAACTTTCATTGCCCAAACAAGGCAAGTTATTATAGGTTGTCTAGACTGTCCTTGTGTTACCTTAGCAAATGCTTTAGTTTAACTTGTGCAGCTGGAGGAATGGCCTCTAAACAGATTCCTCTGGAGTGATTGTCAGATTCCTGGCCCAGAGCAAGATTCAAATTGGCAATTTTCTTTTGTTGTCTGTACCCCTTTCCCTGCCTCCCCCTATTCCAAATCATTATTTGCTTTTTGCAAGTTGTTTTGTGTGTGTGTGTGTGTGTGTGTGTGTCTTTTTCCTTTTCTTTTTCTGCCTAGTTATATGCACTCCTAGTCTAGCTGACTTTCTGGGCTCTAATCCAGTTTAGTTTAAAATTGTTTATGCCTTTTAGCGTCTTCTTGGGAGATTGGTACTTTAATTAAGAACATATTGATTTTAGATACTAGAAAATGTCATCTGACCCCAAATATGTCTCCATTTTAAACCTTCTCAACAGACTTCTCACTGAACCCTAATTGCTCCCTACCAATGATCACAGTCTATTTTGAGCCTATTTGCATTTTTGAATGTACCTTTTCTTTTAGCACTCAATCAACACATTGAGTGCACCTTGGCTAAAATATTCTCCTCATGAGTTTGCTAGATTTTTTTTCCTTTTCCTACATTTTAGTTCATTTATACCTCCAAGAAAATCTCCAGCTTAATATGGCACATTTGAGATAAAGAGGGGGAAGTTAGCTTTGAATATAATAATTATTGTTTATAACTTATAATCCATCAAATCTTTACCTATTTGGTAAGACACTTTGAATTTGATGCTAACTGTAATTGTCTATCAAGCTCCTGATTTGAGATCTATTAGGGTTGCTCTTCTGAATTATTTCTTTCTTCTTAATATTTTAAAATAGGTATTTTTTGTTTTCGGAGACATTGTCTCACTCTGTTGCCTGGGCTAGAGTGCCATGGCGTCAGCCTAGTACACAGCAACCTCAAACTCCTGGGCTGCAGTGATCCTCCTGCCTCAGCTTCTCGAGTAGCTGGGACTACAGGCATGCACCACCATGTCCGGCTAATTTTTTGTATATATATTTTTAGTTGGTCAATTAATTTCTTTCTATTTTTGGTAAAGACCAGGTCTCACTCTTGCTCAGGCTGGTCTCAAACTCCTGACCTTGAGCGATCCTACCGCCTTGGCTTCCCAGAGTGCTAGGATTACAGGCGTGAGCCCCCACACCTAGCCTAAAATAGATATTAATAATTCTAATTCTGATATCAAAATGGGAAAAAATATGAATGATTAGGTAATTAACTAAATAAAGAGAAAAAAGAAAAGGCACATTATCTTGTTTGGGTTCCCAGCCCAAAAGGAGACCCTGAGATAAGGATTCAATTCAAGTTGTTTATTTGGGAGATGACCCTAGAAAACACTGATAAGAAGTGGGGAAGTGAAATAGGGAAGGGAAGGAAGCCAGCAAAGGGTACATCATCAAGCCATTTCCTCTGTGGGCAGCTGGGCCTCAGTTCTGCCAGGGAACTGTGGCAGACAGAGTGAGACATTCCCTGGAGTTATTCAGGGTGCAGACTTGGTGGAGGTAGCTCCCTGGGGTGTTAATTCTCTGGCACTTCCCACTTGCCCTGCAGTTTCCCCGGCTATCACACCAAATAAAACACTCTCAGCAGTCACAGGTCCTCTGAGTAAGCCACCAGTGGCTGTAGAGGTGGGAGCCAGAGGATATCGGAAGGCCCCGCAGTGTCTGCTACTCATATGAAAAGATGATCAACCTCTCTAGTAATCAGATGCATGCACATTCAAATAACAACAAAATATTATTTCTGACATATTTTGACATATTAGAATTGAAAAGATATTTTTCCAAAGGGGAAGGTGTTGGAAAACTGGCAGTCACATGCTACTGGCCAGAGTAGAAGTTAGTACAATCTTTCTCTAAAGGGAATTTGGGGTATGAATCAAAAGCCTTGAAAATATACTTCTCTTTGGTCCAGAAACTCTGCTTCTAGGAATGAATTCTGAGAGAATGATCAGAGCGGTGTGCAGTGTGCATCGAATCATCGGTTATAGAAGAGAAACAACCAGAGAAATGGAACTGTCCAGTAAGTGATTGGTTAATCTCATATCCATCCATCTAATCCATCCATCCAATGGAATGCACTGTAGGCATTTAGACTGATGAAGCAGAAATGATTACCTGGACATATTTTCACAATATACTGACAAGTGGTAAAATCACATGCTCTATTTTGTTAAAATATGTATGTGTGTTGTGCATATATAAAACATTTTGGAAAGATGAAAACCAAGATGTTAAAAGCAGCTATTGCTGGGGAGTAGAAATATAGGCATTTAAAATTTGTTTTTCCTTTTATTATATCCTTTTGTAGTTTCAGAGTTATTTATAATGATATTAAAATACCTCATAACAAAATTATTTTAAAATAGTGAACACATACATAGTTTATGAGGTTACTATATAAAGGCCACCTAGGCTACAATGTTACATTAAAAATGCCAGTTGTATAAAATAAATGTAGAATGGTAATTTGCTTGTGAAAAACACTCCCGTGAACTAAAAGCTAAGATACACATCATCTCATCCTAGAAAAATTTTTTTGCTAAATGAAAATCCCTTGATTCTTTTGTAGAAAAATGCCACATAATACTATCCCTTTTCTCTATACAAAAATATGGGTCATCATAATTTTGTCTTGAGTAAAGTTATAGCTTGTGTAATTTTGCAGCTTGGAGGAAAGACTTATCATAGCAGAAACCAAAATTAGAAGTAAATTGTATTTAAAAGTTCATTATAGGCCGGGCGCAGTGGCTTACACCTGTAATCCTAGCACTCTGGGAGGCCAAGGCGGGCGTATTGCTCGAGGTCAGGAGTTCAAAACCAGCCTGAGAAAGAGCGAGACCCCCGTCTCTACTATAAATAGAAAGAAATTAATTGGTCAACTAATATATATATAGAAAAAATTAGCTGGGCATGGTGGCACATGCCTGTAGTGTCAGCTACTCGGGAGGCTGAGGCAGGAGGATCACTTGAGCCCAGGAGTTTGAGGTTGCTGTGAGCTAGTCTGATGCCATGGCACTCACTCTAGCCTGGGCAACAAAGCGAGACTCTGTCTCAAAGAAAAAAAAAAAGAAAGGAAAAAAAAAAAAGTTCATTATATATCCTGTGTATAGAAACATGGAATAGAAACTGAGAACATGTTTCATGTTTTCTCTTAAGATCAAAAAACTGCAGAAATTATGATCAAAATTTTATGACTATTAAGAGCCTAAAATCATGGTTACATACATTGTCTAATTTGTTTCTCTCCAAAAACTCTTTAGAGCTAGTACATTATTACTATCCCTATATCACAGATGAAGTCTCTGAGGCCTAAGAAGTTCTAAATTAGTTTTTTTCTACCTAAGCTAACAAAAGCTAAAGAATCAGAGATTTTCTGATTCTTAGGCTTATTTTTTTCTCTCAATTCTGTGCTCAAAATTTGGAGTCACAAGGCCTGGCTCTTATTCCATGCTGTATTAGCTGAATTATGTATGAGCTCATGTTTCCTCATTGGTAAAATAAGGATGATAAAATGAATAGATTAGAGCAGTTTTTCCCAAACTGTAGCATGCATCAGGATACCATGGATGGCTTGTTACAGCACAGATTGCTGCATTCCATTCCCCAAGTTTCTGAATTAGTGCGTCTGGAGTGGGATCTGAGAATGTGCATCTAGAACACGTTTGCAGGTGATGCCGATGTCGCTGGTCTAGGGAACACACTTTGAGAACCACTGGCTTAGGCATTTTAACTATTGCTCCTGCTGAGAGTTTATTCTTCTTGGCTTCTAGTCACAATTTAGATTATACATTGTTTATATATTTTCTGGAGATGTAGATTTGTTTTTTATAGCATTTTTAACGATCTCAGACTTTCCCCAAATTAGTTATTGGTTATGTTGTGCCCTTATGTTGGAATTATGAATATCTCTAATATAAAAATTATTCTGGGCCAAGCGGGGTGGCTCACACCTGTAATCCTAGCACTCTGGGAGGCCGAGGCGGGCAGATTGCTCGAGGTCAGGAGTTCGAAACCAGCCTGAGCAAGAGCGAGACTCCGTCTCTACTAAAAATAGAAATAAATTAACTAATATATATAGCCAATATGGCCAACTAATATATATAGAAAAAATTAGCCGGGCATAGTGGCACATGCCTGTAGTCCCAGCGACTGGGGAGGCTGAGGCAGTAGGATTGCTTGAGCCCAGGAGTTTGAGGTTGCTGTGAGCTAGGCTGACGCCAAGGCACTCACTCTAGCCTGGGCAACAAAGCAAGACTCTGTCTCAAAAAAAAAAAAAAATACAAATTATTCTGGATAATTATTTTGGGTAAGGAAACAGTGTTTGTAGTTAGCATTGTTAATAATAATTTTAATTTATTCTTTTTTTTTTTTAATTTATTCTTTTTTTTTTTTTTTTAAAGGCTGGTCAAGTGGAGCAGTGGGAGTGGAGAAGGAACAAAGGAATCTGTAACTGGTTGTGATCAATTAGTTGTAAACACCACTGCACTCGGACCAACCGTGTTAATAATAAAATAAATGTATTCTTACCCCTGACCTTCGCAAAAAAAAAAAAAAAAAAAAAAAAAAAAAAGTAAAATAAATGTAAGGTATCATCATCATGGAAACAGAAAAACTAAAGCAGAAATGACCTGAATATGTGTTGCTTATTTGTTCTTTTCCTTTTCTTCAGCTACTCCTGGAACTTAAAAGTAATTGGATAATCTTCCCATGCTGGAAGAAATTTTTTTATTTGGGTTATAGACTGCACACCCTCCAACAAAGAAGTGGGCCTAAGAAGGATGAAGAGAATTAACATTCATTAAGAATGGTCATCCAACTGCTAAAGACACAGCACTAAGACCCAGCCCTCAAGGAACTGATAATTCAGACAAATAATCAGAACGTTGTAATACTCGAATGATAGTCATATGATAACTCACAACTATGAATCCCATGGTTCAACACACAGCTTCTTTTTGTTTGTCCTGAGTACGTCTTACTCAAGTTTCAAAAGAGGAATCTCTTATCCTAGCATATTAAGGACAAAGTGATTTTTTTAAAAACAATTTATCCATACAATTCATTAACTTTTTTGAGTCTTCTTAGTTTTTGCCTTTTTCAGACTCAAGGTACTGAATCTTCTCCTATTTTTAAGCATGAAAATAAACAATAGCTACTATTATGTGCTAAATGGGTTTTCAACCATCTAGATAGAAAAACCTTAAGATTGATGTTGTTTGCCTTTGGAGGCAGTTGTCCTTCGTGATAGAAGATGAAACTGACTGTTGAGAGTCAATGGTTAGCCCCAGGCCCCCAAAGTTTTCAGAATTAGATCAAGGACCAGAAACAGCTGAAGCACAGCCTTCTACTCTGCAAGAGAGTCGGGAGAGAACTTGTTGATCCTCGGGGAGGTCTACATACTGTTTCTTGACAATGGGATCCACTTACTAGCTAATATGCCTTTTCTACTTCTAATCCTGGAGACCATTTAGCTATTGGAGTTTTCTGATACTTCATTTTTACAATGCCATATGTTTTTTGTTTAGCTTCATTCTCTTTCACAGGGCTTTGGTTTGCAATAGCTCGGGAAGGGGATTTCATGTCTTGTAGCTATCTAATTTAGAATTGCCTTTTCATTTCTGGCAGTAATTTTTAGCATAATACATTAATCAAAGTTGTCTCATTTATTTCCTCTTCTTATTTCTCTCTTTTCACATGACTTTTTTTTTTGTCTACTTCTTACACAAAGAGCCAAATAAAAGCTGCACACACAAAAAAAACCATATAATTTGTGCTAATTAAAATAATAAAAATGTTAGGACAATATGGTACTTATTTCTAGGCTTTTTGTACTAAAAATAATAATGCCTTGAATTTATGTTGCAACTCAAGGCACTGTTGCAGATATTTATCTTCCTTTTATTCTCAGGAGGAGAAACATTTATTATGATCCCAATTTTGTAGGTGGAGAATGAATGATTTGTCCAGAGTTTCAGAGTTAGCGAGTTGTGGAGGTGAGACAAAGGCTCTGAGTTTCTTGATACCTATGCTAGTATTCTTTGTAGTAGATTTTGTTGCTGTAATAGCAAGAACATGCTTTTATAACATAATAATAGACATATGAAAGGAACATTGGTTATAACGCTGGTTGTAGATTATGTTATATTCTTTAAAAGGGAGCTTTATGTAGGTTTTTTTCCCAACAGTGTCAAATGGATTTGGGGCTTTTTTTTCCTTTTTCTTCTTTTCTTTTTTATTGTTTTAGAGACAGAGTCTTGCAGTGTTGCCTAGGTTGGTCTCAAACTCCCAGGCTCAAGAAATCCTCCTGCCTCAGCTTCCTAATTAGGCAGGACTACAGGCACATGCCACCACACCCAGATAATTTAAAAAAATTTTTTTGTAGAGACTGGGCTCTCTCTGTGTTGCCCAGGCTGGTCTCAGACTCCTAGCCTCAAGCAATCCTCTCTACTCAACCTCCCAAAGTGCTGGAATTACAGGTGCAAACCACCCTGCCGGCCACAAATTTAAACTACAACAAGATTCCACTACTCACTCACTAGAATGTCAAAAATTAAAAACACTGGTAATGCCAAGCATTGGTGAGGATGTGGAGCAACTGGAATGTTCTTACATTTATCATATGACCCAGCAAATTCTACTTCAAGATGTATACATGCAGCTGGGCTCAGTGGCTCAAGCCTGTAATCCTAGTACTCTGGGAGGCGGAGACCAGAGGATTCTTAAAGGTTAGGAGTTCCACAGCAGCCTGAGCAAGAGCAAGACCTATGAGACCACAGAGAGTAAGAAGGAGGACCTGGTGTTTATCTTTTGGGCCCCTGAGTGTGCACCCCTTAAAAGCAAAATGATTTATGCCAGCTCCAAGGATGCCATGGAGCAGGTGACAGGGATCAAGCATGAATTACAAGCAAACTGCTATGAGGAGGAGGTCAAGGACCGCTGCACCCTGGCAGAGAGGCTGGGGGGGCAGTGCCGTCACCTCCCTGGAGGGCAAGACTTTGTGAGCCCCCTCCCGCCCCCTGCCTGGAGCATCTGGCAGCCCCAGACCTGCCCCTGGGGGTCGCAGGCTGCCCCCTTCCTGCCAGACCTGAGGGGCTGGGGGATGCCAGTAGGGGGAGGGCAGTTGCCAAACAGTCTCCCCACCCCCTCGATTTTCCTCCTCCCTCCATCCCTGAAGGTTCTGGTCTTCCCAAACTGCTTTCAATCTTCCTGTTCCTCTTGGTTTGAAGCAGATCAAGGTCCCCCAGGCACCCCAGTTGTGGGGGGGGGACTGTATTTTTTAATAACACCCCTACTCCTCACCTGTTCCATCCCTTCCCGTGCTGCCAATTTCTAACCGCAATAGTGACTCTGTGCTTGTCTGTTCAGTTCTGTGTATAAATGGAGTGTTGTGGAGAAGACACTTCTCTTTTCCTCTGGTCACAGCCACTCATGGAAGCAGGACCAGTAAAGAAACTTCGATTAAAAAAAAAAAAGACACACACACACACACAAACCAAAAAAACAAAAACAGAAAATGGTGCATATTATATAAAAATTATACCACAGTCAAACTGATTGAAAAAGTATTCATGTCTTTGTTATGATTTACACACTACAATTTTCTCAGATGATAACTCTTACATAGAGGATCCAAACTGGTCTCAACATAGTGCCCAGAGGTAAAAGCAGGAAACATTTTTACAGTTTGATGAAAAGTAGGCTACTGACAAGGAGGAGCTATTCTAGTGATCGCTATGGGGTAATTCTCAATGAAGCACTAGTTAAAGGTGGTGGCTGGATTTAGGCTGTCAGGATCTGAATCTAGCCCATCATCTGCTGGTTGAGTGACCTTGGGAAAGTTACTTAATTTCTTTAAGCATCAGTTTTCTCATGTGTAAAATAGGGATGGTAACAATGGTCTCAGTGTTTTAGTGTGTATAAAGATTAAATGAGACAGCATATGTAAGGAGCCCAGGTTATAGAGAATGCCTCGTACATATTAGCTATTGTTGCTGGTTTCACTTCTTCTGGCAACATGGAGATCCGGAGGAGGAAGAACACAGGCAGGGGCCAGTCTACATTGATATGCATCTGTTTATTCCCTGGTTTCTCCCTTTCCTTCATACTGTATAAAAGGCTCTTATGAAGGGAATATTGCCCTCTATTCCCAGGATAAGGATGGAGATTGGGGACATTGGGGTGAACCTGAGGCACTGGACTAAGAGAAAGCACAGAGCTGAGTCTATAGCATTCTCAACTGGTTCTCATGGTTTTGAGAAGCAGACGAGTTTAACGGCAGGCTGCTGCTCCATCTATCTACCCTCCTGTCCTCACTATAAAAGGTAGTTTTGTTGAAAGGATCCTGGTAGGTCTATTTTGTTTATTAATTTAAAAGTTAAGAAAAAACATTTTTAAAAAAAGGTAGTTCTGGGCCACCAGGCACAGGTGAAAATAAAGCCCCACGACATATTACCTCATGCCCACGTTTGAAATCACGAAGTAAGGATCTGTGAAGCATCTTGTGTTCTAGTTGCTTCAGATGCTAGCATTATATTTAACCTCAAACTACCCAATATTTAGATCTACTAACACAAAGAATAGAAACTGTGTATGTTTGAGAACAGTATTGCCGCTGCTAAAAGATGTTTCTGAGGAATGGAATCTTCCTTTGTTTTTTTACTCAAGCAATTACACATTTGGTTTAGATTTTCAAAGTGAAAATGAGTAGGTGGATTTTTAAGTTTTTATGTGGAAAAAAAAGGGTAATAAGTGAAGACATTCTGGAAGATTCATGTATTCAGAAATACTTTCCCAGTAGCTCATATTTGTGTGTGTGTGTGTGTGTGTGTGTGTTGCATATTTTTATGGAATTATTTGGTCGAGTTTAAAAACTCTGGGATATGAAAACTACCTTAATTATTTCCTTTGCTTTGAAAATTCTACCTGAGTCCCCTATTCTTGAAGTCTTAAAATGAATGCATCATTACCTTATAAGCTATTGGGCACATTGGCTTGCAAAGGACAAAATGCAGGGAATCAACTTTGCTTAAATGGAATGAACCTTTACAATTGAATCCTTTTTTTTTTTTTTTATGTGTGCTTCCTGAATCCCTTAGATGGTTTTGTTCCCAAGGCAACGTAGAAAGTCAGAGGGGATGTTGCCACACATCACCCATGGGAATGGAAATGTAAGTCTGAGTATAAAATTGAAGACATCTGTAGGAACAATGAGCAACTTAATGTCTAGTGCTGAACCCAGTGAAACACCCAAGTCTTTCTTGGCAAAAGTCATCTGATCTTTATCTCCCTGGTTAATGGGATAATGTGAGCTTGTCCAGATTAACCAAACATGAGAAACTGATTGAGATTTTCCCATTTGTCACTTATGTAAGAAGAGATTTTTCACATAAAAATATCTGGTTGGATGACTGTTTCAAGTAACGTGTGCAAATTTAGTTTCTCTTGTTCGTGGTATGATTGCTGAGATATTTAAGAAATATATGTATACCATGGAGTACTATTCAGCTCTAAGAAACAATGGTGATATAGCACATCTTATATTTTCCTGGTTAGAGCTGGAACCCATACTACTAAGTGAAGTATCCCAAGAATGGAAAAACAAACACCACATATACTCACCAGCAAACTGGTATTAACTGAGCAGCACCTAAGTGGACACATAGGTACCACAGTAATAGGGTATTGGGCAGGCGGAAGGGGGGGGCGGGCATATACATACATAATGAGTGACATGTGCACCATCTGGGGGATGGTCATGCTGGAAACTGAGACTTATGGGGGGAAGGGGTGAATGGGCATTTATTGAAACCTTAAAATCTGTACCCCCATAATATGCCGGAAAAAAAAAAAAAAGAAAGAAATTCGGCCCTTTCTCCCTTCCTCCACCATCCTGGTATGAGTGGTTGACTCCATTTCTTGCCATGTCTTCTCACAAGACTTGGGAATCAAGGGATTTCTGGCCAAGAAACAAAAGCAAAAATCGTCCCATTCCCCAGTGGATTTGGATGAGAACTGGTAATAAAATCGGGTACAACTCCAAGAGGAGACATTGGAGAAGAACCAAGCTGGGTCTATAAGGACTTGAACATGAGATGATGGCACACATATTTATGCTGTATTAAGGTCACTATCGGCCGGGCGCAGTGGCTCACGCCTGTAATCCTAGCACTCTGGGAGGCTGAGGTGGGAGGATTGCTCGAGGTTAGGAGTTCGAAACCAGCCTGAGCAAGAGCAAGACCCCGTCTCTACTATAAATAGAAAAAAATTAATTGGCCAACTAATATATATAGAAAAAATAAGCCAGGCATGGTGGAGCATGCCTGTAGTCCCAGCTACTTGGGAGGCTGAGGCAGGAGGATTGCTTGAGCCCAGGAGTTTGAGGTTGCTGTGAGCTAGGCTGACGCCACGGCACTCACTCTAGCTTGGGCAACAAAGTGAGACTCTGTCTCAAAAAAAAAAAAAAAGGTCACTATCATCTTATATGAAGCTGAAAATGTCACTACTTGGTCAGACACATTTCACTGGGAAAATGATTTTTCTTTTTGTTTATATGCTTTGCTCTAATAAGCTGGTTCAGTAATAAATATGTGAGACCTTTTGTTTGAAAAAAAAAAGAAATGTGAATATTATCAGTAGGGAAAAACTAAACAGAATAACTGAATATTTGGGGAAACAATTTAGAGTTTACTATGAAAGAAGCATTAGATGGAGGCTTTGAACACTTAGCAAAAAAAAGTTTAACCCATAATTAGGAGATTTTACAAATAATTCTAGTTCTACTACTGTTTGTGAACAAATTGTGTCAACTCTCTGAACAGTTTCCTCTTCTTGAAAATAAAGGGGAGGGGTGGTCTCGAACTCCCAAGCTGAAATGATCTCTTCGCCTCAGCCTCCCATCCACATATTTTTATTTATTTATTTCTTTTTGAGTGAGTGCCGTGGTGTCAGCCTAGCTCACAGCAACCTCAATCTCCTGGGCTCAAGCAATCCTATTGCCTCAGCCTCCCGAGTAGCTGGGACTACAGGCATGCGCCACCATGTCTGGCTAATTTTTTGTATATATATTTTTAGTTGGTCAATTAATTTCTTTCTATTTTTAGTAGAGACGGGGTCTAGCTCAGGCTGGTTTTGAACTCCTGTCCTGGAGCAATCCACCTGCCTCGGCCTTCCAGAGTGCTAGGATTATAGGCGTGAGCCACCATGCTCGGCCCCATCCACATATTTTTAGAATCAGATTGTCAATTGCTAGGATTTTGATTGAGACTTTGCTGATCTAAAGAGTAACTTGGGGATAATGGACTTATTATTATTAGGCCTTCTAGTTCTCAAACATATTATAGCTATTTAAGTCTTTAATTTCTCTTGACAATATTTGGCAGGCTGTTACATTTATTTCTGTTTTAAAATGAACTATGCTATGGGAAATAAAATCACTTAAAATGCAAAAAAAAAAAAAAGAAAGAAAATAAAGGGGAGGGGGTTGGATATTATGGTCTCAAGCTCTGTGATTCTGCCCTCTCTAAATAAAGATGAAATTTTCAAGGTTTCTATGTATAGAAATGCAGGGCGATGCCTTCTTAACTATAGTGTGGTTTCTCAACCTTTTCATTAACTAATTAGGTGATATTTGAGGTTATCTAAAAGATACAAAGAATTAAACAGTAGTTATATTGTTACATAACTGTCAGGTAAAGATGGCAGTTTCAATACACACATATAATTTCAATCCCTCCTGAACTCCCACTTAAGCTACACATAGAGGAATTTTTAATTTAAGGCATAAACCTACAATGACAAGGAGAATATGATTGTCTTCCCAACCCAATAGTGCAACCTAAAAATTGCACATAACAGACATTTCCTAGTTGATTTCTTCTTTTAACATCCAGGCTCAGTTTGTATTTTTTTTCACATGCCAACGAGAATCCACAACATTTTAGAAGCTGGAAAACAGATGCATAATTAGGAACTCACTGAGGAAACCTCTGAAAGCCAAACCCTAAACCGAAACTGGGAAAAGATGGGATCTGGATTTACACCATGTAATACTGAAAAACCTCAATATTGGTGGCATCAGGGGCGCAGGGGTCGGGGGTGGGGGAAGCAGAGGCTGGCTGAAGTGAGGAGGACTGGCTGACAGCTAAAGGGGATCGGAAGAAGCACTTGGGTCCTGGGTCCCCCCCCCCTCCCCGCACTGCACACTCCTGGGAGGGGGCCCCATCACCACCCAGCGCTGCCACAGTTGCAACGTGAATGCTTGTTCTCCACCGATGATGAAGCAGAGAGTCTGAGAACTGGAGGAAAATAGGCACAATTGGGCCGGGCGCGGTGGCTCACGCCTATAATCCTAGCACTCTGGAAGGCCGAGGCAGGCGCATTGCTGGAGGTCAGGAGTTCGAAACCAGCCTGAGCAAGAGCGAGACCCCATCTCTACTATAAATAGAGAGAAATTAATTGGCCAACTGATATATATATAGAAAGAATTAGCCGGGCATAGTGGTGCATGCCTGTAGTCCCAGCTACTCAGGAGGCTGAGGCAGGAGGATTGCCTGAGCCCAGGAGTTTGAGGTTGCTGTGAGCTAGGCTGATGCCACGGCACTCACTCTAGCCTGGGCAACAAAGTGAGACTCTGTCTCAAAAAAAAAAAAAAAGAATGGCCAAGTGTGTCTGGCCCTATGCTCATTTGCACTTGGCTTTCCTGGGTCACGTGCAGACGAAATTCCAGTCTCCTCCTCTCCTTGTTGGGTCAGCTGAGGACACTCATTTCCCTCGTAGGTATGTGCTGCTTAGACCTGTTTCTGAGAGCTGGAGCTTGGTCAAGGTTAGAAGTAGCAAATGCAAATCACATTCCTGCCTGATGTCCAGTAGCTGGCCAACACTACACTGCCAACTGCCCTGGCTGTGGTGAGACATTTCTTAGGACTCACTCATTCCCTGGTCCACTGACTCCCCTGAAGGGATTTGGTAAACTCTCAGTGAAGATAAAGCCAAACTATGACCCAGAATCAAAGTCTTCTATAAATTCCTATTTTATGCTTAACATGATTTTTATGAAATGTATCCATGTTGACACATTTAACTCTAGTTAATTTATTTTCTCAGCTGTATAGCGTTCTGTTGTTTGACTATAGTATAACTTATGAATTGGTTCTCTTGTTGGTTGGACTTTTAGGTTGTTTACTCTTTTGTTATTACAAACAATGCTTCTATGACTATTTTTACATATGTCTCCCTGGGAACATGTAAAAGACTTTCTCTTTGGTATTTACTCAAAGACGTATTATTGGATTATAGCATTTGTTTGTAACTTAATGGATATTTCCAAATTTTATTAAGTATTTTTTGCCAATTTTGACTCCCTCCAGCAATGTATAAAAGTTTTTGGGGCAGCGGTACATGAGAGCAGAGTACAAGCAGCAGTGTCGGGAGTCATGGCAGGATAGGCATTTATAAAGTTTCTTCCATTTTTTGACCGGGTATTGGAAAGGAGTGCAGCCGAAACTGTAACCAAAGGAGGCATTATGCTTCCAGAAAAATCTCAAGGAAAAGTGTTGCAAGCAACAGTAGTGGCTCTTAGATCGGGCTCTAAAGGAAAGGGTGGAGAGATTCAACCAGTTAGTGTGAAAGTTGGAGATAAAGTCCTTCTCCCAGAATATGGAGGCACCAAAGTAGTTCTAGATGACATTTCTTATTTAGATTATTTCTTATTTAGAGATGGTGACATTCTTGGAAAGTATGTGGACTGAAATAAATCACTATTGAAATGGCATTGACATGAAGCTCATTCCACTGAAGTTCTGAAATCTTTCATTATGTAAATAATTTCCATGTCTCTCTTTTATAATAAACTAATGATCTCTAAAAAAAAAAAGTTTTTGGTGCTCTACGTTCTCACTGATACCTAGTCTTGCCAGACTTATTAAAGTTTACTAATTAAATGTGTGTAAAATGTTTTCTCATTGTGATTTTCATTTTCCTTTACATGTGACAAATAAGATTGAATATTTTTTCTTTTTTCTTTTCTTTTTTTTTTTTTTGAGACAGAGTCTCACTTTTGTTGCCCTGGCTAGAGTGAGTGCCGTGGCGTCAGCCTAGCTCACAGCAACCTCAAACTCCTGGGCTCAAGCGATCCTCCTGCCTCAGCCTCCCGAGTAGCTGGGACTACAGGCATGCGCCACCATGCCCGGCTAATTTTTTGTATATATATTTTTAGTTGGTCAATTAATTTCTTTCTATTTTTAGTAGAGACAGGGTCTCGCTCAGGATGGTTTCGAACTCCCAACCTCGAGCAATCCGCCCACCTCGGCCTCCCAGAGTGCTAGGATTACAGGCGTGAGCCACCACGCCCGGCCTAAGATTGAATATTTTTTAATGTTTATTGACCATTTAGGTTTCCTTTTCTATGACTTACCTGTTCATATATTTTGCGCATTTCTCTATTTGTTTATTCACTTTTTTCTCTGAATTATAATCCTTTGTTTGTTATAGGTGTTACAAATATCCTTTCCCAGGGTGTGATCAACCTCTTGACTTTTATTATAGTGTCTTATTTTTGGTAAACTTTTAAAAATTAAAGTATAACAGACACAAATAGAGTATATAAATCTTAAGGGTATAGTTCAATAAATGCTCATAAATGAATATACCTATATAAACAATTATGTGTCCTTTAATGCATTTTAAAAATGTAATTCAACTAATGAAACTTTTCTTTTATGGTTTGTGATTTTTTGTTTTATTTAAGAAATACTTCCCTATCCTGGCCGAGCATGGTGGCTCACGCCTATAATCCTAGCACTCTGGGAGGCTGAGGTGGGAGGATTGCTCGAGGTCAGGAAGTTCGAAACCAGCCTGAGCGAGACCCTGTCTCTACTAAAACTAGAGTGAAATTAATTGACCAACTAAAAAATATATATATACAAAAAATTAGCCGGGCATGGTGGCGCATGCCTGTAGTCCCAGCTACTCAGGAGGCTGAGGCAGTAGCATTGTTTGAACCCAGGAGATTGAGGTTGCTGTGAGCTAGGCTGATGCCACAGCACTCACTCTAGCCTGGGCAACAAAATGAGACTCTGTCTCAGGAAAAAAAAAAAAAAAGAAAAAGAAATACTTCCCTATCCTA